ATACCGGGTATTATTTGTTTTATTAAGTTTTATTTTCTCTTATTTTCTTTTTTTTTCCTTTCCTCTTCTAGTTCACGAGCTAGTGAGATATGAGACTCGTGTTGGCAGGCTTTGATCTTATCATCTCTACATAGACCAGGGAGAGGCGTTTGTGTTGGTGTCAATGCATACTCTCTATACCTATATAGATTAGTGAGTTCATGGTCAGTGAAATGTTTTCATCTGTTCAATTTTTTTTTCTTTTCTTTTCTTTTATGGTACCTAGGTAGGTACTTACATTGTTTCCACATTTGTAAAAATGGTAGTCTCTAGTCTGTAATATTGTTAATGCTGTGTGCTCCGAGCCTCATCTAGTGCACATTGACCATCCCGTTCGATGGACTCTATTGTCTGCAAAGTTATTATCTTTATTTAAGTTTTTTTCTCTTCTTTTTTCTTTTTTACTCTTTCCAAACTTTTATTAACGAATGGCTCCTTCCTCTCGTCTCTTACCATGTTTGTCTCCTTACTGTGAAGTGTTTATGCTCATACATAAACTCGAGGTTTCTCTCTATCTCTCCCTCTCTTTTCAACGAACATACATTTCCATTCCTCGACTTGTTTCTTGTGCTGTCCCTTGAGTGCACAGCACACATTATTTATTCTGCGCCAACATCACACCCTCATTACTATAATCATTATTCAAGTTACAGGGCTGTAGAGTTATATCAAAAACAAAGCCAAAGACCAAAACCCGGAAAGGATAAGAAAAAAACACCAAATATCCTAAATATAACAAAACAAAATGGAGTCTGGCTGGAGATAGTAAGTCTGTCGCCAACGACGTCTTTCCCCCCTATCCCCTATTATGCTGTTCATACATATCATTAACATTTCTATAGCGCTTTACGCTCGGTTCCCATCGAGTTTATCGTCGGACCCCAACGGAAGCGTTTCAGCATCCACTCGGGGGCCCTGCAGTACATGTCCACCAGACTTGACGACCACATCCTCTGGCTGGAATTATCCGAGGACGCAGGGTTGCCACAGCAGCCGGTATACTGGCCCACCGTCGACGAGGACACCTTCCTGCGGTTCGCTAAGTTCGTCTACACGGGGGACTACGACGTCCCTGTTCCATCCTCCCCCTACCCCTCTCTCTCACCATCAATGTCATCGCCGCCATTGGCATCAAACGCCATGCAGAGCGAATATGTTACCGCCGCTCCCACGCTCGATAACAACAGCAGCGGCAGAGGCTCGGCCAAAGGCCGCAGTGCGTTCAATAGGCGTCTCGGCCCGTACCACTCGCTCGACTCATGGTACCAGGTGCTGCGGCACAACCCGCACAAGCGCCTTGTCCCGGGCGCAGACCAGGAGCTCAGCGATAACGACCTGCAGCAGACCGCGCCGTACCACCTCCTCAGCCGCTTCTGCAGCCTGCCCTACTCGACGGACGAGGACCCGTACCCAGACTTTGACGGCGAGACGCTGCTGGCCCACGCGCGCCTGTATTCCCTCGCGGTGAACTGGCAGGTGCCGTCACTGCGCCGCCATGCGCTGAACGCCATCTACCACCTCCTGCGCCACGGGGATTTCCTGTACGATCGCGTGGCGGATATCTCGCGACTGATCGATTTCGCGTTTGAGCCGTTTAGATGCGAGGATAGAAGTTATCAGGTCCGGGAGCAGATGTCACTGGGACTGGATCAGGGGCCGGGGCGGAGTGATAGTAAGCCCCCTTTTTCTTTTCTTTTCCTTTCTTTTCTTTTCTTTCCCCCCAAACCACACAACCAACCCCTTAATCCCTAACACAATCTTCCCTATACTCCTCCTCTGCCATTATGCTAATTTATAAAAACTTCCAGTGCTCCAAGACATGCTCACCCTCTACGGGGCCTGCGTCTACGCGATCTTCATGCTGCACCCGAGCTTCACCGCGATATGCAACCTGCACGGGGAATTCGCGGCAGGCATCCTCGACCTGCTCGTGCCCCCCGACGAAGAAGGGGACGATAACAATAACACTGATATCCTGGACGTGGACTCGCTGGTCGAGTTGGCGGTGTCGGGCGCAGACCCGCGCGACCACGAGGCTGCGGTCGACGAGCTGGTGGACGGCCTCGCGGAGCTGCGCACCGGGGAGTGGGGCGCCGAGGACTTCGACGCGGGCGAGTACGAGGAGTGGTGGTCGACTTACGGGTGAGCGGCCTTTTGCGGCCTCATGCTCCTGATATTGCATGTGCGTATGTATTGGGGGTATATGTATATCCAATGAGACAGAGAAAAGGGGTGACAGAGAGAGCCAAGTTTTTTATAAGCGAACATAAGGGGAATATACATAGAGCGAAAAGGTATAAAGGGAAATGGAGAAGAGCTATGGGAGACTGCGAGACGGGCACATAAAACGGAGTATAGAGATAAATAGCGGTTCTTGTATATCATATCATTCGAGCGACGGGGTACATATCCTGTATAGGAGGAGGGTTATATAGCGTAGACAAAAAGGTCTAACAAGATACATATTTCCCCCGTACGATAGCTTTCCAAACGATGAACCCATAGTATGAGATAACTCCTTACATCTTCTCGCCTTTAAGTATATCACCCAAGATAAATTTCCTCCCCCCCCCCTTTCCTCCTCTCTTCCCCCCTCTACCCCGTCGGCCTCAGATACTTCCCCCTCGGCTTCCCGCCATGCTCATACACAACCATCACCTCGTTCTCGCCCGTGCACATGATCCCCGGCCAAAACGCCGGCGCCTCCTGCACCGTCTGGCAGCCCCCCCACCGCACCCGGCCATCCCGCAGCCCCTCGGAGAAAACCACCTTCACGGCCGCGCGCCGCGGCCAATCGCACGCCTCGGCGTCCTCATCCGTCATGAACACGACCGCCAAGCGGTCCCCACACGCGGCGATCTGCGGCGCGCCGGCATTCCTCCCGGGGCGCGGGCAGAACACCTCGCCGCGATCCCCCCACGCCCGCCCCCCGTCCCACGACACCGCGTACTCGACGCTGAACAGCGGCGCGCGCCGCGTCGTCTCGAACACCATGACCAGCGCCTCGCGCCCGGTAGCTCCGTCCCGCACCGCCACGATGCCCTGCATCCCGTCGCGCAGGCGCTCGTGCGCGGGGTGGCAGCGCAGGCAGCGCGGCGGCTGCGGGCCCCAGGTGGCCCCCCCGTCGCCGGAGTCCACGCGGAAGGTCTCCTGGTCGGTGGGCGCGAGCTCGGCGCTGAAGGTGAGCTGGATTGTGCCCGCGGGGCCGAGCCGCACTGTGAAAAACGGGAGTCAATAACTGCCATGTTGGGTAATTAAATTTATGTAACTCTTGAGACCCTTGTTTCGGGCGTCAAAAAGTCCTACAAACTCATGCGCTTGGCTATGATAGGTAGGACATTTTGACTCCCGGGACAGGCCAAAAAGGGGGAAATCAACGACTCCGGAAAATCACTCACTGAACGGCTCCCAGAGCCCCAAGCCGCGGGGGTGCGCGGCGCGCTGCTCGGCCGCCTGCGCCGCGAAGGACCAGGAGCGGCCGCCGTCGCGGGAGCGGCACACGGTGATCCTGGCCGCAACACAACCACCCATCAGCCACCAACCCCTCCGCCTTCTAGCTCGCGAACTCACCGGAAATGCGTGTACCCCCCGGCCTCCCCTCTATCGTGGTTCCGGAACGCCGCCAGCACCACCGGCCCGTCGTCGCCCGCCACCTCCAGCAGAAACCCGTTGTCCACGTCCTGGCCCGGCGCGCCGCGCGCGATCTCCCCGTGCGCGGCCCACGTGCGCCCCCCGTCGGCGCTGCGCGAGACTTGCAGCGCGCGGATTCCGCCGGGGTGGAACCCCGTGCTCGCGCAGAGCAGGGTCCCGTCGCTGAGCCGGCAGAGGCGCGGGTATGTGCCCCCTGAGGGGTGCAGGGTGGTGGCGGAGGGGGAGAGGGACCAGGAGGATGGGGGTTGGGGTTGGGGATGGGGGTGGTGCGAGGGGATGTGGGATAGGATCTTTTGGGCGAGTTTGTTGGCCATTTTGTTTTCTTTATTTGGGTAAGGGGGGAGATGGGACTTTGATTAGAGTAAGCAAGAGGGAAGCTGGTAAAGTAGGCTAAGTGGTATAGGTTAGTATGGTATGGGCTAGATGCTGTGGTGATATAAGAGTAGCTAGCATAGAATGGATACCTTAGGTACGTAATAAATCATATGAGAGAGAAAAAAAGGGGGAGAGCGGAGTGTGGGGGATGGGGATATAGATAGGTTAGGAAAAATCCCTTACAACTTTCTGTCGTCACATATAAACACTAAAAGTCCATAGATCAGGGTAGATCAGGGTAGATCAAGGTCGTATACGCAATGGTGCCCCGCAACGCCCTCGTCCGATGGTGTGGAACTATGATGATTTCCTCTTCCAGCCTGCATGAGCCAATGACCTTCTTAGTCCGCCATCTACACTAGTGGCAGACGTTACAAATGTGTCAGGTTAATGTTTGGTGTGAATCTGTATGTACATAGGATGTTATATGCTGGTAGGTGATTCCAACTAAAACCAACAGAACTTGTCTTGTTTCTTATGTTATATACATATGCAAGACTGCATGTGCACGCACACATTCACCGATCATCATAATACATGGTAAAGGGAGAAGAGTTAGTTCCCGGGTTTATGTGTTTAACTATTCTTTAACCCGAACTGCACCGTTTCATTATCTATCATCCTATACCTACCTATGTTACCAATTCTTCAATATGTTGCATACTAATTTTATTTGTACCTTTCCATATTACATTCCACACTCCCAATCAACCCACACTCCTCCCTCCCTCCCATACCTACTTACCTACAACAACATTCCCCAAACCCCCCGACCTGCCCTAGACTACTAGTTTAGTTAGTGAACTATATGGCCGCTAATAACCACACCACTTCCACAACTTCCAGCTCACTACCTTGGTTTCCCATCGGTAGCTAAGCTGGCAGCCGCCCACCTCCCAACTTGGGTTGGCGACGACTTCGGAAACAACAAAAATGGTGAGATGGCCGAGTGGTTATGGCGCTGCGTTCAGGTTCCCAACTTGGATTATGAATAGTTAAAATATTCGCAGTGGAGCAATCCGCGTGGGTTCGAGTCCCACTCTCATCATCAAGTTCAATTTTTGGTGTGGTTATATTTTTAAAGCCTCTTTTCTTTTTTTGGAAGAGACTGACGACACTATATTGCTAAGACGAAGTAGTATATAGATATGTATGTACATACAATCCGTGTAGAGTCTTAGTTATTAGCCCAAGTCCCACGGCTCCTTTATTACCTATAATTCATAGTTGTTAAGGCTCCCGGCAACTTGGATATGCCTACCAGCTACTTCTTCCCAAGGCTTTCTTTCAGTTTCTCGTTAGTCCAACGAACCACCCAACTACACATAGTTTAGCGTTACCACAAAGCACTCTTGTCCTTTTCTTTTCAGCGAATAGCGAGCAGCTATCCTACCAGACTTGGAAAGAGCAGAATCGGTAACTTTTTCTTCTCCCAGGTTTAAAACTTCCCTCGATTTATTCTATCTTTTTCTATTTTCATGGTCGAGACGAGAAAAGCCTCTAGGGAAAAAAACATCATATGTCGAATTTTCGAGTTTAAATGAAACCTGTAGACAGCCGTCATTCTGCTAGACTACCCCGTCTCTATCACTGTTAAAAGATACGTTCTTTTCCCTGCTCTAGGAAGCGTTATGTATGAATAACAGCACCAACCGATCGCAATCTTCATATAAGTCTAGCTTTCTATATTGTCAGGACAGATATCCAAAATTTTCAGTATTCCAGCATCTCATGCAAAGTCACACGTAGCTAGCTAAATTAACAAGATCACAAAATAGCTTATAGACCCTACCTACTTCACCTAGGTTAGTGTTGTCTGTGTTTGCATCAACAATCACATACTGACCCAAAGCATACTTCCTGTAATGTATAAAAATAACAACAATATTTGGTTTTACCCTATTCTCTCTACTCTTTTCTACCTTGCACTCCTCTTCTCTCCTCTCCCTTCATTCTCTCCTTCCTCATCCGCCCCCTTTATCTCTCTCCCTCTTTTCCTCATCCTTTTCCTTCTCATCCTTGACACATCCACACACACACTTGCACGTCCCGCGCAACAAAAAGATTACATGAGTTTAAGTAAAGGTAGCCAGATTTTTCTTTTTTAAAAAATCTTTTGTAAACCGGGCAAAAAAAAAAAAAGTAAAGAACCCCTCCCCCCTTTCCATTTCCTTCTTAAACCCTCCAAGAGGGGAGAAGAAACTCAAATAAACCGAAGTATCAACCAATTGGTCCAGTCCACAAAGCCTTGTGGACTTCAATGAAGTGACAGTAAGAGGTAGTTAAAAAAAAGGAGAAAGTTACCAACGGTAGAAAACAAGGAAGAAAAGAACAGATTTGAAAAGGAAAATGAGATCCTTTAATGGCCCCACCGCATGTACTCCGCATTTTGTTGTTGTTGTAGCAATTGCTCATTGATGAACGTCGAAATTCGTATCTATGATATTGTTGCCGTTGCTAATGATTTCCTCATAACGAGGAGGATGAACCCCACCAACACCACTACCACTGCCGTACCCGTAGACATCTCTAATGCTCGGGAGTCTAAATGAATACAAAAGGTCTGTTTGTGGCTCAGAAGTTCTCTAAGCTTCGTTGCCGGCTGCCGGGGAGCCGCCGTTACCGTTTGCTACTGCCGGTCCCGTAGGCGCCATGGCTGGGCTGCCATTTACTGCTCCTGGAGGAGGGGCATTCATGGCCGGCGAGTTAAGCTGCGGCTTGGGGCTGGGGCTGGATGCTGAGTAGTTGACACCGCTGGGCATGTTAGCTCTAGCAACTGCCATCCTATTCGGGTCTTGTCCAAGACCAATGCCGCCTAATCCCACCGGAGCACCGACATGGCCCTGGCCGGGGCCAGCGCCTTGACCTTGATTAGAGATCGGGCCTCGGAGACCCTCGTTGGATTGCTGAGCGTTCCTTTGGGCTTGAAAACGCGCCTTGGCCTGATCCATGGCTTGTTGCACCTGATGGGGATTCAAGGACGTGTGAAATGCTGCATTGGGCGGAGCCTGGTTCGTGTTGTGGGGAGGCTGAGGCTGACCTTGGTGGTTCTGCATCGGCGGTTGACCGGCAGGAGAGTAATAGCGCCTTGACGGGTCGTTCATCATGTTGGGTTGGCCACCATAGGAGGGTTGGCGCGTTGGTGTCGGAGGAGGATGGTAGGGTGGTTGAGGCATATGTGGATGCTGAGGCGGTTGGTGATGCACGTGGGGAGAGGCAGTTCTCTGGGGCATGCCACCGGCGCCGTTAGGGTAGTGCCCGTACGCAGGATGAGTCGGAGTACCATGTTGTGGGTGGGGTGGCTGGTAGGGCTGGTGATGGTATGAGGGCGCTGCGGTGTTGGGAGGGTGAGAGTATGCTGGATAACGGGCCTGCGGAGTGGCGCTGACCATAGCAGTGGGGTAACCTTGCATATGCGGCGGCTGGTAGGGCGGACGAGTCTGCGTCGGCGTTCCTGGATAGGCGCCCTGCTGAGCATAGGAAGCCGGCGGCTTGGCATATGACTGGGGGTAGCTGGGGGTCGGGTAGCTACTTGGTGGCCGATAACCCCCGGCAGGGACCCGAGAAGGATAAGCGGCGGGCATGGTTTGCGGAGGTCGTTGTAAGTTCGGCTGAGGAGGACGAACCGGCGTTTGTGGGCCATAGTAGGGTTGGTTCGGCATCGGTGCGCGCGTTGCCGCTGGATGATACTGCTGGCTATACTGCATGTTGCTCGACGTACTCGACGACCGGTGCGAGGCTGGGCGTGCGCTTGCGGCAGCAGCTTGCGCGGCTCGGGCACGGGCGGCGGCCTCGTCCTCTTCCATCACGCCCTGATATTCGTCCGTGCGGATTTCCAATTTGGTCGAGATATTCAATTCATCCAGCTTATCAGAATTCAGACGCGCAACACAGTAAGGGGGTAGCATTTGTATGACCAAAACAAGTTGGGCCTTGAGGGCTTGATACGTTGCTGTCTCCTCCTCGCCCGGCTGCACAGGCGTGCCATTCGTGAGCATATCGCTATGCGCCGGATCGGCCGCGTATCGGCTCTGGCTTGACGCGGTTGGTAATGTCAGGTTGCGGTTCTTTTGGTACGAAATTAGCGTTTGAATCATGTCCGACACATCTTGGAGTATATCATCGACGTCCTTCTCCTCGTCTGACTTCTTCGGACAGCACGCTTCCTCTAGACTAGGATCGACCAAGCTATCGTCCCAATTGTCGATGGCCTTCTGAATCAAATCTTCGTCCACCTGCTCAACCGGGTTATTATCGGTGGGTTCGTCAGTCTCGTTACTCGGTTCCTCTGGCAATTCGGCCTCCATTAGACGGTCCAAGCTCCGCTGGCCAGCGCGTTGCCACCACATAGTCTGGCTGATCAACCCTGACGATATCATAGCAGCGGAATCATCCTTCGAAGGGGCAAAACTGGAGAATGCACCCCGGAAGAGAGCTTCCATCTCGGACATCTCAATATCCGAGGAGGACGGCTTGTTTCCGGCCAGACTGAGCGCCCGTTCGCGCTGTTTCGTCATGATCTGCGAAGGGGGGGCGGCATTGCTGTAATCGAGCCAGCGGCCGGTAGATATCGTCTGGCTGAAGTATGATCCGGCTCGGTACTTAGACTTCTCGGTCAATTCGGGGCGATGCCAGCCGACCTGGACGCCTTTGGTAGTGCTCTTCGGAGCTTTGGGTGGTTGAAGGGAGGGCAGGTTGCGAGGCGGAGGGAAAAGCTCGCCCAGGGTTTTGGATTTCTTGTCCTTCTCGAGAGCAGAGGGGAAGAAGTACGGCACTGCCTTGATGGCCTTCATGCCGGTTGGCAGCCCGGTTTCCCTCAGGGGCTGGTATCCGGCCTTACCACCACCCGCAATGGGCTGTTGGAGACTTGAGTAGAGCTGTCTCGGTCTAGGCGCGTCGCCAAAGACGGTCAAGACCATGTTCCCGCTCGCGTTTGAATCCAAATCATTAGTCGAATCAAGGGATCTGAGGACTTCGGGGACATGGGTCGGCCTAGGATATGTCATTTCCCGACGGAAGAGTCCGTACGCCTTCTGCTTGAAGTCGATGATGCTCGCGATAGCCAGGTCAGCCTCCTTGGGATCCTTGCCCGGCTCGGTCTGTCGGAGCTCGGCAAGCTGCTCGGTGACGGAGGTTTTGAGGTCGATGATAATAGCTTCCACGTCTCGGTACTCGTCATTGGCAACCTTGTCGGCTATGGATGGGAAGGGCGTGCCGTCGACAGACTTTTGTCGCTTGGCGTCAGGCTCGTCGGAGGGTGTTGACTCGGGAAGAGGGCGCTTCAGAATGGAAGGCGTCGTGTCGAAGCTGTGTAGTAGGTAGAGCCAAGGGGGTTAGTCTTGTAACTGTATACCATAAAGATAGAGCCAATGCGGCGAATAATAGCAAAGGCGGCGCATAAGTGAGAATAAGACAATAATAAAAGGGAGCAGAGCAGAGAAAGTAGAGATAGGGAAAAGACAAGAGATGTAGGGAAGTACAGGGTATGGAATAAGTTGACTATTCTCTCTTCCTTTTTTTTCTAATTTATTTTTTCCTTACCTCTGCAGTAATTCGAAGTAATCGCGAACCGTCGACCTATCAATTTTGGTTTTGTTGGAAGAAGAGAAAGTAGTAGTAGCAGCAGCAGCAGTACCGCTGCCATTGTTGGTGATGGCAGCGAGGGAATTCGTGGGATTAATACCATTGACGGCGATGCCGTTTGGTAGCTGCTTCTCATCAACATTGCTGGACTCGCGTTTGCGCTTGGTCGACGAGTTGATGGATTGCGCGGGATCGGCATCGGTATCTAGTTGCATAGGCGTTGGCACGCCGTTGGGAAGTGCCACGGCGGGCGAAGCCATTTTCTTCTTGGTGTTTGGCTTTGGGAGAATTTATTCTCTTTTTTTGGTCCTTATCCTTCTAATTTTTCTTTTATTGTTAGGGAATTTTAAATTCTTCTTTTTTCCTGTCCCTTTTCTTTTTTCTTTTTTTTTCGCTGACCTTGGCTATGCTGTGGTTTGACTAGCTGGCTGGTTGGTTGGTTTGGCTGTAAGTTTTGTTCTTGTT